CTCTGCACGAAGCTCTGGGTGCAGTTAAGGGTCAGCGGCTGATAAGAGGGAGGTCATGGATGGCTCAGGCAGAAGACACAATCAGACAGGTTTGCATCCTTGAGAACATTAGGTGAGGAGAGGAGTGAGTGCCACCTGAGCAGTCAGACTTGTGTAGAGTCATAATCACCCTGAGCCGGGATTGCAGAAACTGGCCAGCAGGTGACATAGAGGTGGAAATTCAGCAATTAATTCAAGATAATGCTCGCTCAGAGGATTTGATCATTTACACAGACGGTTCAGTGTCAAGGGGCAAAAGAAGTGCTTGGGGCTTTTAAGCAAAAGTTAATGGTCGACGTTTGGTGCAGGAGAGCCTAGCATATGATACCACAACATCCAGCTTAAGAATGGAGGTGGAGGCTTTCCGCTGGCTAGAGAACACGACACACACATTGTAATTGTAACTGATTCAGAAAGCATGCTGAGGAAGATCAGAACAGGGATGCTTCGTGCAGTGGCATGCTTCGCTGCGGAGCATTGTCTGGATTTTTTCACCGGGTAACGCCGGTGTGTTGGAAAATGAACAGGCGTACAGACTGGCTGGCTCTGCACAACTTGGTGGAATACTGCTACACGATAGGGCAGACGTGGGTACTTAATTTATAACTTACCCCTGACGTCACGACAACGTCACGGGAGACATTCCCAATAAATTCTAGGGTGTTCCGGTTGTAGTTTCTCGTGATTTCTCTACAGTAAAGTTTAGGGTTAGGGTTAGGATTAGAAGACACTAGATGAACACTCAAAAAAAGCACCACACAACAGCACACTTGCACCCCTTGAAATAATAAACTGTCAGGTCAGCTGTGGATTTACCACGGGGATTTCCTGTTTGGGGTACGTTATAAATTAAGAACCCAGACGTGGTTAGTGCCTTGTGGGAGAGCGTGTATAATGCGGAGGAGCAGATGGATCACCACAGTCTGGTGAGATTGATGCAGTTGGGGGTGACGAGAGGTTCCAGCAGAAGCTCAAGGCTCAGAAGAAAGGCAAGAGAGACGTTTAATCAGAAAGCTACTGGCACCATTAGTATCGGAACTCTTCGCTGGCTGCAGAAGATAGAGACGGAGCGCTTATGGGAATGCCCCGAGTGCTGTGATGTCAGTTCTTGAATCAAATCAAATCCTACTAACACCGAAAACTAATACTTACACAAACACCTATATATATATATATATATATATATATATATATATATATATATATATATATATATATATATATATATACATACACACACACACACACATATATAGATACATATATATAAAAGCACTTTATCAAACACAATCACCCATACACACATGGACACCCACACATCTTTACACACCAATACAACATGTTTGATGAATATGATCTGAGAATTGAACAATGAACAACGACAAAGAAACAAGTAGAAGGATAACACAAAGAGATGGACAAACCGCAGTCTGAAAGAGAATACCACCAAGACAAGAGACTGAACGTATCGGAAATTCATTGCAGCTAACCTTCAATGTGGAGACGGCACCAATTTCATTGAGATCTCCCTGCCAACGGAAGTAGTCATGAAGTGTCATGCAGGGCTGCCAACGCTTGGGTTTCCCCCCCAGATCTGGGTTTTTATTTGACCCCTCAGGGAAATCTGGGTTTTTAAAAAAATATATCCTTATATAAAAGTGGTAAATTTTTCGTTTCATAAGTATAAATTGTGTACATTATTAACAATCTGGGTTTTTTATTTTGTTTTCTTGTTCTTTGTCTATGTATTGCTTGGGTTTTTGTTAAAAAAGCTGGGTTTTTCAAAAAAATCCCATTGGCAGCCCTGGTGTCATGTGACTTCACAAAATGGCGATAGTTACAAATTCTTGAATGTAAACTAACCAACTCTTGTCCACCCAAGTATGAGCTAATTTACGTGAACATCTGTAGCTTTAATGTCTATATATTAAAAATTATAGATGACTTTGTCCACACGAAGTTCCAAACTCTTCCTTCTCTGGTCGGTTTTACAGAATGCTCAAAGAATTTAAAAATCAATCGGAGCAAAAAATGTGCGAAACATGTTGAGGCTTGACTCATCAGTCTCGGAACAATTTAAAAACGACTGCTTTGTTTAAAGCGCGCAACAAACATAAGTCATACGTATTAATTGAAGCCACCAAGTGAATTTAGTTACTGTTGTATACTTTTATGAGCGTGAAACTTTTGGTGCTATGTAAAATGTTTTAATACCAGGACAGGAATTTTATTTCAATTCAAATTATTCAAGGTACCAAATGCGAACAGGCTGGCTAGGTCAATAATTTATTAATTATCAGTTATAATAATATTGTCCAATTGTCGTTCATGGGAGCTTTGGTAGTGTAGCTGGCATGCTGACCCAAATGGTTTTGTTTGAATCGGCATCAAGGTGGATTTAAAAAAAAAGTGACTTTGTGTCTCCAAGACTAAAATGGGTAAATTAATGAGTAGCAGCCGAACCAACTTCATTTTCAAAGGGTCGCAATAATTTGGGCACACAGACCTGTCTTACATTCGGCCCTTACAAATCCATCTTGTACACAGCAGCTGTATTCTGTATTTTATAAATAAAGCATGCTGTGTTCATATAATAATATGTATATTATGAATATCAAGAAGAAACACAAAAGCATGTTTCATGTTTGATAAAATGCACACGCCCTGATGCTCATACACACACACACATGCCCACCCACTCACTTACACATCCATATGCATACGCCAATGCATACGTCAATGCATACATACACACACACATACACTTGAAGACAAAGACAGCCAATGTGAAGCTGACCAGTTCATCCACCCAGTGTCATTGCTGGTATATGATTTCATTTGACAGGTATAAGTCTTGCTTTATAGCTGATACACCACAGGTGTAAAAAGGATCCTATCTGTATCTGTCTTATCTTTTGTCATTTGTATTGTCTTGCAATAGCCTATAGGGTCTTTGGCAGTTATGTAATTAACATACAGTGCAGACCACTTAAATTGATCTCGGATGTGACAGATTTCTTGGCAAACCTCCAAACAGTGGTTCCAAATTTGGCACTCCCAAATTCTCAAAATAAATGCTTGGAAAGATGTTTTAGAAGTGTAGGTAAGGGTTAGGCTAAGCCTGACATAACATGACATAAATGCAGTGCTGGATTTAGGCATAAGCTACAGCTTAGTACTCGCCAGTTTGCAAAGGCCTAGAATTTTATGAATATGTGTGAGTGTGTGTGAATGATTAACACAGCATATCTGTTGATAATATAACCAATGATTTTGCATTTGGGAAATCAAGGGGGATTGGGGTGGGGGGTATTTTAAGTTGTTACAGAACCTTCTAGAGTATTACATAATATAATTTATGTGATTTTGCAAACAATATATTTCCATTATCCGTTTATTTAAAAGACATTTAAATTTTACATTTTCTGAGATTAGCTTGTGAAATTTAAATGATAGAGGCTTTGTAATATCTTAGGGCCTCATCAAGTCTCTTCTTCTTTGCATTCGCTTTTGTATGCTCAGATCAGACCATTACGTGGGTTGCCTCTATGAACTCGCATGTCTGTAGCAGGCCTTTCATGGTTCCCCACAGCTTGCTCTACACACTTTGCTCTTGAGGCCAGGTGTCATCATGTATAAATTCAGCCATACATGAATGGAATCCAGTCCAGCACCTTTGGCCTTCCTGATCAGCATTTGTTTTACCATTTCTTTTTGGACGTCCTAAATTCATCTATCCCTTTATTTACATTTAAGTGCCTGTTTAGTGATTCTCTGCACATTTTTTCTCAGGTTGTGTCCAGTATAGCACCATATTCTCAGGATGTGTTCAGTGTAGCACCATATTCTCAGGATGTGTCCAGTGTAGCACCATATTCTCAGGATGTGTCCAGTGTAGCACCATATTTATTGTCTTATAGTTGTTGTTACCAGTGGCTGCTCAGATATTTCTCTTATTTCTTTGGACATAAAATGAAGAAAAACTATAATAATGATTATCATCTTCTCTCTACTCCTGGAATGCCTTGCTGTGTCAGGGCAGGAAGAGATCTCTAGAACGGGCTCTTCTGTTAACTTCGAATAAGGTACTTCTCAGTGTCTCTGATATTTCTGCGGTCCATTTCTGTGTGGTTGACCTCTAGATCTGTTACAACTGTATCTGTGTAACATTGCTGTCTAAAGTGCCCTGTCTGTTTACCTATAAAGTTCAGTTTTGGTTCTGTGCAACTCACCTCCTGATATCATCATTCCTAAGTTGATCTTTCCTGAGCATAGTATGAAAATGATGATAATGACATTGGATAAAGATGTGTGTTACCGTGGAAAGCTCAAAAAAAAAAAAAAAAAGAGCAAACTTCACGTCTTTTAATAACTAAATTATTATCACTAATATGTGTTCCTAGTGAGTTTGCCACATGAATCCACATACTCACATTCACTGCCAAACACATAAACCCACACATTCATCTGCCCACATGTTGTTCGTCCATCATGAGTGATGAAGACCACTTTCATCCAGAGTAGTGATGATAGCTGGATGAAAGTGACTTGCGCACGGACTTGGATTTAGGTGATGAAGAGTTGCGCAATTCGCCGACCTCCCTCTCTCGCCTGTGTCCATCTTGATCTAATGGCAGGACAATGTAGAGACGATTGGAAATGGACCTAGGTGCAGTGGATGACCAAGCCGTCTTAAGTGCCCTGCCTTGCTCGAAGCTCTCCACAGAGCCTGCTGGTAAACGCCTTCTTGTCCGTTGAACCAATAAGAGGTTTCATCAGCACAATCTGCCGAGTACAGTTTTTGCATGCAGGGTAGGCATATCCCAATCACCGAGTGGTTTAGAACCAGGTCGGCTACCCTCTCCTGGTTTAGCCAGCTTCTCAAAGTCGACATAAACACATACACACTCACTCACCAACACATAAACACATATACATACTCATACCCATGCATCTGACTTATGGCCTGTAAATGCAACTACCTAACCCTACCCCACTTGTTTATTTCTGCAGAATGTAAAATGGAGTCTCATCTAAGACAAAAAAGCCAGACTTTGCTAAAACAGCTTAAGCTGTCGCAACAGCTTCTGAACAGTGAGATCGATCTACATGACGCACCTTGTGAAGCTGTCCCAAGATCTGTCAACTTTTCCAGAAATGATGACAGTTTTATACTGAAACCTGCCTATGCCAGAAGCAAGTTACTGGGTGCTGCCAAACTGGCCTCTGATGACCCTGCTATGGTTAAGGGTAGGAATAAAAGCAGACAGGATATAATGAAGAACAAGGAGAATATGTTTGGAAGCAATGACCATGCTGAGATACTCGGAAGTAGTAAAAATTATTCGAAAACATCCTCACTCCTTCACAACGCAGAATCGGATTCTAGACTACGAGATACAGAAAGAAACAATCAAAAGACACACCAAGATATACTTGACAATAAAGATGCTGTTATCTCCTCGTCATGGCAACCAGCGACCCCTAACACTCAGCGCAGGCGGAACCTAATTGACCGACATATTCATGTGTCTACAAAGCTTGATGCGAAAGAGTTGAGGGATTTGAACAAGGAGAGACTGCTTAATTTCAGCTACTCTGAAGTTAATTCTGATGATGCAGTTTTGGACACAAGTGATGGGAGAGATCCACAGAGCTGTAGAAATCAGCAGATCTTAAAATCTGCTGGAAAATCGGAACAGCAGTTTAAGGTCATCAAGTCAGATGGAAATTCTGAGCATCAGCTGAAGACATCAACGTTAAACGGAGATTCAGAACATGATACAGTGACTGTCAGTTCTACAATACAAACTGGAGAACATGAGAAAGAAAATGCTGATGAAGCTGGAAAAGAGAAGAAAGCAGGGGCCAGAATTGATCGAGAAAATTTTAAAAAGCAGCTTGAGGATGACGGCAATAACCGTAAATTAAATAACTTCATCCGAGACACAACAGTTAAGCCAAAGTCACTGCTGAACTCAACGTCGTATAGTCTTCACAACCTGAGTACCTCTAAAAGGGTAGGTTAACTGTTTATATCTAGTAGATTTAATTATTCTAATCATGTTAATGTTTAATTTGTGTTATAATATATTATCACAATCATGGTCAGTCATTGCACATTGGGCAGTTTTATGCATGCTCACTTCTCCTGATGCAGCAGCCACTCCAAGGTACCGCTACAGATTGTTCTCATGAGGAGGTGGTTATAATGTCTCCTATCTCTGCCTTAAAGGTCGTAAAGACATCCCTCTCCATGCAATCACGCAGTTGTGTAGTGTCAGATTCGTCATTATTCACTAACCTACTCCACTAACCTACTCCAGACAGCATTTGTCTATGCTTTATCCCACATGCGTTGCTGCATTGCCTACTCCATACAGCATTTGTCCATGCTTGTTGCTACATTGCTTGCCAGTTGATTTGATTTTTCATTGCCTTTGACACCGGCATTGGCAGATATATAGATCCAGGTTAAGTGAGATTTCTGTCATAAACTACTTGTAATTTTCTGAAGATTATGGAGTCTGAATGACTGTTTATGCTTATAAGATTTAATGCTATGAGTATACAGTATTTAACAAGACATTCCCATACATGCTTTCTACTCCTAGCCAGTGAAGAGTTTCCAAGCTGTTGGTGTCATTAGCTTCCTGATTAAATATCCCATGCTGGTAGGAAATCATCCAGACCCTCTGATTACTTCCAGCAAAATCATCCTTTCCGGACATGGATGCTGTGTCTGATCTGTTATGCTGTTCACTTGATCCTAGAGAGTCTTCACCACATCCACTGTATCACCAAGTAACTCACCACCGAGACATCCCTGTGTGGGTTCCGGGGCCTCATTGTGGGGGAAACAAGAATGGACCCACTGCCTACCCAAAAGCATGTCGTCAGAGTCAACTAATTAGGAGCTTCCTTCAAAGTCAGAGTGCATCTGTCTGAAAGGCAATGAATCAACAGTCTGTATACCCATGAGTCAGTACTGTAAAACAGATGTGCATGCAACACTCAGATTCTAGAACAGGACTAGATTCTAGAATTGGACATACAACCAGAACTTTCCACCGGAGTTTACAGCCGGTGAACAAAAAAAAAAAAAGATGAGGGGTTGAATCTGCTCCACAAAATGGGTCCCGTAACCCACATGGGAAATATGATGAGAGGGTGTGACTCAGTTAAATCAGTACCACTGTTGAAGTATCTTTTCCTCTTTCTGTTGTCAGAATGCCTCTAGTGTTAGATTTGACATGTCTGGAGACACCCAAGAATCGCTACCTGACCAGCGGATGCTCGGCTATGATTGGATCGCTGCCTTGCTGGACAATGATTCTGCATTGGTTGACCAGTCTGAGAGCTTCTTCAACGAGCTCCGAGAATTCAGGAAAGCTTATAAAGATGAGTGCAGTAACCGGTTTTACATGGAGTAAGTAATAGAGGAAATGTGTAGTAACCAGTTTTTACATAGAGTAAGTACTGAAAGATGAGTTTGGTGTGTGTAGCAAAGGCTGCAGACAAAATCAGAAGAGATCATGTGAGAAATGAGAAGATTCAAACAACTTTTGGAGTTAAATTAATGGAGAAACAAAGACTGAAATGGTTCGGCCACCTAATGGAAAAGAATACAATAAAACTGACAGCCAGCTCCATACAACATGAAAATTTAGACACCAAGAGATAGAGAGACCTAGAAGAATATGGACTGAAGGAGTCATTTAAAGTCTGGGCACTCATCCGAATACCTGTCCCAAATTATTCACTGTGAAAAACATCCCCTTGAGATCGTCATCATCAGTTTCCACTTCTGCCATTATTGCTCGATGGAAAGCAATGATTAGACGTTAAGCTAAGTGACGTGGGGAGGAACAGTTTTTATTCCATTGAAGCGTCAAAGGGGAGGAATATATTTTGATCCGTTGTTTAAGCGCCACGAGGAGTAGTAGTTTTTGATCCATTACAGCGTCATAGTGAAGAACAGTTTTTGTTCTATTGTTCACATTACCCATGATTTGTCTTGTGGGAGCTAGCTACCTGTCATTTGTTAAACCATGACATGTAACAGCAAAAACAATAAGAGCTGAAAGATGATTTAAGCAACCAGGTTTACATGGAATAAGTATCAAAACACATGTGAAGTAACCAGTTTATAAACTTAGTAATTGTTTATAGCTTGGAACAAGTATGAAGAAGAGTGTATTAACCACCAAAGCATACATTTATAATTCAACATGAAGTAAATGTTGAAGGATGAGTTTATAATTCAGTTTTACACAAAGTAAGTGCTGAAAGATGAGTTTATAGTTCAGTTTTACATGCACTCTTCTTCTTTTCTCTACTCCTGGAATGCCTTACAGCGTCAGGGTAAGAAGAGATCTCTGGAATGGGCCCTTCTGTTCACTTCCTATATAGTACTTTTGAGTGTCTCTGATTTTTATGCGGTCCATATTTTGCGTGGTTGACCTCTGCCTCTGTTACTGCTGTATCTGCATAACATTGCTCTATGTGGTGCCCTGTCTGATGCCAGTCTTGTTACATGGCCAAACCTTTTGACCTGCTGCCTAGCTATCAAGTTCAGTATTGGTTCTGTGCCGACTCTTACATGCAGTCAGTGATAAAAGATGAGTTTATAATTAAGTTTTACATGAAGTAAGTGCTGAATGATGATTTTGTAATTTCATTTTACATGAAGTAAGTGCTGAAGGATGAGTTTATAGTTCAGTTTTACATGCAGTAAGTGCTGAACCAAGTGTGGTTGTACACCAGAACTAGAGTACACACCAGTGAAGACTTCACACCTCTCTGTGGCCAGTCTCTATGCAGGTTTCCTACCGTGGGTCTGGATAGGATCATCATTTCCCTCAAAGTGGGAGTATCTTGGGTTCAAACTCGCATTGAGATGGAGTTTTATTCTAAAGTGACCTTGGCTTCCAGGTCAACCCAGCCTAAAACGGGTACAAAGTAATGTCTTGCCAACCACACCAGCCACCAAGTGCTGACTGGTCTATACAAATCAGGTTGCTTTATTAACATCCTACCCCAAATAGAGAAAATCCACAGGTCACGGTACAGTAATATTTCAGGGGGTGGTAGGTAGGCTGCAAGCAGTTATGGGACCTAGGCTGCATACAGTCGTGGGACCTAGGCTGACTCTAGTGGGACGTAGGTAGGTTGAGGTTAGGGCCAGTTCTAGGTGTTTTGGGATCGTTAAAAGCCCTCTAAAATATTGGACTGTCCTTTTGACGTCATCTGGGGTAAGATAATAATAAACAACCAAAATCAGAGACCAGCATTATACGTCTGCTGCACAACTGATAGACATAAAAAGGATCCTTTACTTTTTACTTTCATGGCTGATATATAAAAAAAAAAAAACTTGTGCTGTGTTTCATAGGGGCCCTCATACCCTCGTCGACTTCGAACCCCAACCTGTCGTTGAAGCCTTGAAGGAGCCAAGTGAGTCGTCATTGTCTTTGTTATCATCCTCATTATAGTCATCTTCATTGCTGCCATTATCTTCAGTCATTTATGTCAAGCTTCCCTTGTGAGTTTCGGAGCCCGGTTGTGGGAAAAAACAATAGACCCATTGCCTCCCGAACAAGCATGTCATAGGAGTCGACTAATTGAGGGTATCCTTCGAAGTCAGAGTACATCTGCCTGATAGGCAAGGAACCAGAAGTCTGCATACAGATCAGCCAGATCTGTGAAATGGATGTACGAGCAGCACTCAAGTTTTGGGACAAGACTAAATTCTGGAGATGAATAAACACCAAGAACTTTTTAACTGGAGTTCACAGCTGGTGAACACAAAGAAGAAGAAGAAGAAGATTTATATCAAGTTGGGAGGAGATCTAGAGGACACAGCTGGTGAACACAAAGAAGAAGAAGAAGAAGAATATTTATATCAAGGTGGGAGGAGATCTAGAGGACACAGCTGGTGAACACAAAGAAGAAGAAGAAGATTTATATCAAGGTGGGAGGAGATCTAGAGGACACAGCTGGTGAACACAAAGAAGAAGAAGAAGAAGATTTAAATCAAGGTGGGAGGAGATCTAGAGGACACAGCTGGTGAACACAAAGAAGAAGAAGAAGATTTATGTCAAGCTGAGAGGAGATCTAGAAGACCAAAGAATTGAATTCATAAAACCAAAACAGTACTGGTGATATCTGAGGGATATCAGAGCAGGAAGTATGAACACTTGAAGAGTTAGTTGACAGATTATCCTCTTGCACATCAAACTATTCAGTCCATAAGTGCTCAGATCCCCTCAGTAAATCTCACAGCGTGTAGTGGCTCACAACACCAGTTCAGTGTTGGTTTCTTATTCTTCTTTGGCTTCCTACATAGTGCCCTTGTCTGGCCACATCCCTTTTAACGTGTTGTTCTTGCAGTCTGATTATAGTTGCAGATTCACAATCATCACTAGGTTCTCACAAATGTTTTTCTTTTCATAGAGCATTCAAAATATCAGCATGGTCCATTGCTCATCATCCGCCCACTTGAGTAGTGTTTTGAGCTAAGAACTGACACCACAGCACCTGAGACATTCCCTTAAGTGCTGCATCCTCACTTTCAGCAGCCATCAAAGAGTTCCAGTTTTGGTGGTGCCAGTTTAAAAAAAAAAAAAATAAAGGACTCTTTTTCCACATTTTCTGGTCATACAGAGCTAGACCTATATTTTATAGACCAATTGGCACTCAGTGAGTAATTTGTTCCACATCACAGCTGTAGCCTTTACTTCCTATGGATTTACCTTCCACCAGTTTAAAGCTGGGTCAACCTAGGAGCCAAGGTAATTTTTGAAAAAAGTCAGTTTGGATTCGAACCCTTGACCTTTGGACCCACAGGGGAGCATCTAGCCACTAACTACATCATGGCAGCTTCTGGTGCTAGTAGCAGTTTGATTACATGTCCATCCTGCCTTTCCACTCTGTATGTAGAGTGTCGACCATATCCCCTGGTCACTCCTGGCTGTACCATTCTTTTCAGACCATAATGATCTTTTCCTGCCTCTCGATTGTTCATTTTCTCCTGGAAGATCTTGACCACATCTAGCTTGTCAAGCATAAATGTGTAAAACCAGCCAGTCTTTTTGCCTGTTTATTTCCCGACACCCCTGCATAGTTTGGAGAAAATATCCGGAGAACCAAAGACTTGAGTAATGGTTCCATGCAGACTGAGAATAATTTCTTGATTAATGAACCAGCAGATCCAAGCAATCAACCCAGCTAACCAACTAATCTACAAACTAGTTAAATGCCAAGATTAACTGCAACACCTTGTCAAACACTACAGTTGAATCATCTTGGAAAACACTAAAGTTGACTATATCATCTTGTCCAACACTAAATTTGACTATAGTATTGTACCAAAAACTAAAGTTGACCTTATCATCTTGTTAAACACTAATGTTGTTTTTATGATTGTGCAAAACACTATATTTGAAAATATAACCTTGCTAAACATTAAAGTTGACTCAACCTGTCAGATACTAGCTTCACCAAATACCAAAGTTGACTATATGATCATGTCAAAAACTAAAGTTGACTTTATCATCTTGTAACATACTAACTTCAACTTTATCATCTTGTCAGATACTTACTTTAACTTTATTATCTTGTCACAAACTAACTTCAACTTTATCATCTTGTCACATACTAACTTTAACTTTATCATCCTGTCACATACTAACATCAACTTTATCATCTTGTCACACACTAACTTCAACTTTATTATCTTGTCAGATACTAACTTCAACTTTATCATCTTGTCACATACTAACTTCAACTTTATCATCCTGTCACATACTAACTTCAACTTTATCATCCTGTCACATACTAACTTCATCTTTATCATCCTGTCACATACTAACTTCAACTTTATCATCTTGTCACACACTAACTTCAACTTTATCATCTTTTCACATACTAACTTCAACTTTATCATCTTGTCACATACTAACTTCAACTTTATCATCCTGTCACATACTAACTTCAACTTTATCATCCTGTCACATACTAACTTCATCTTTATCATCCTGTCACATACTAACTTCAACTTTATCATCTTGTCACACACTAACTTCAACTTTATCATCTTTTCACATACTAACTTCAACTTTATCATCTTGTCACATACTAACTTCAACTTTATCACCCTGTTACATACTAACTTCAACTTTATCATCCTGTCACATAATAACTTCAACTTTATCATCTTGTCAGATACTTACTTTAACTTTATCATCTTGTCACATACTAACTTTAGCTTTATCATCTTGTCACATACTAACTTGAACTTTATCATCTTGTCACATACTAACTTCAACTTTATCATCTTGTCACATACTAACTTCATCATCTTGTCACATACTAACTTCAACTTGATCATCTTGTCATATACTAACTTCAACTTTATCATCTTGTCAGATACGTACTTTAACTTTATCATCTTGTCACATACTAACTTCAACTTTATCATCTTGTCACATACTAATTTCAACTTTATCATCTTGTCACATACTAACTTCAACTTTATCATCTTGTCAAACATTACAGTCAATCACAGAAAAATTGCTAACTACATTGGTGGTGTTAAAAAGTTTTAAGAATTGATGTCTAGAGTACATAAGGTACAGTAATTATACATACATAGATATCGGTTTTGTGTTTTATGTACAATTGTTAAAACCCTATTTGAATTTAAAATGTATTGAAAAATATACATTCATCATCTTGTCCCACACTGATGGTGATAACTTGACTACATATAATATTGTTTACAGAAGTCGAGCCCTATGTCGTTAATGAGAGACTGTTTCCAGAACCACTTAACAATGGTCTCATTGACTATGAAGATTCGAACAGAAGGGCGAGGGAACCAACGTCTGAAAACCCACGATTTGTACGGTGAGTGTTCATTTAGGTCTGTTTTCTTCCTCCTTTCCCTACTTCTTGTTTTTTTCTTCTTCATCTGCTGCTGCTGTTCTGAGACAGTAACTTGTGAAAAATACAGCACAAACTGTAACTAGAAAGCTCAACGGAGAAAATGGGGGGAAAAAGTCTTATCAACAAAATAGAAAATACACCAAACCTGTGATTAGAAAACCAAGACAACAGAGCTTATGAACAATTGAGGTGAACTAAAAATATATGACAGGAGAAGAAATGAACATGAGTGGTTATTTTAGTTTAGTTTAAACAACAGACCAACATCATGGCACAAGGGTAGTAACCCATAAGTGCTTCATTGTACTTTTAACTCAAGCCTGTCCGAAGAATTACAGCATAATGCACAAACTCCATAGCACCGGTGAGGATAATGAAATATTTTAGGGTAGATTTTAAACTCAAAAATTTTCCCGGGCTAAGCTACTCTTTTCAATTTCCAACTGTCAAGGGTTTTGTATGCACGCAACAATAAACTTATTACCCTAACTTACTATCTTACTACCCGGAGACCAGGGGACATTACTAGAAGTCCACATGAAAAAATATCAGCCTTCACCAGGGCCTGAAATAAGGGGCTTCAGCACTCGAGGCGGACGCTATGCCTCGAGACCACTCAGCCCCTAGTGGTTACAATTTACTGTGCTATGAATTAAATAAACAGATGCCTGAAAAAAACTGAGGAGAAACATTTGTGTCATCAAATTAAATCGTGCAGTTGATTATTTACAGACCATGAGGTAGACCAAGCAAGACGTGAAAAGTAGTGTACACTTGCACTCACTAACTGGAAAGAGAACGCCAATCACAGAGTAATGAATCATAAGCTCAGAATACTGAAAAAGAAGATGAAGAAGAAAGAAAGAAAACAACAGAAGAGGAGGATTGCTTATGTCCTTATCTTTAAATTCGCAAAAGTTAATTTTTAGTTTAAAGAATTTTATTTGTGCACTTGATAATTTGTTGCAGCGTGAGTATTCCGCGCTCAACTCTTCAGAGCCCTCAAAGATGGAAGCCGCATCGCAGGGGAAGTTTTGGTTCAGGTGATTCATGCTCCCTCAAAGATGTGAGTTTTTTAAACAAATCTGGTTTATATCTATTGTGATATTTGATGTGAGTTGGAGCATACTAAAGTTCAGTCAGCATCAGTCGCTTAGGGGTTACAAACCCGGTTAATAATTCTGAAATACTTGGTTGGATTCAGCAGGCAATTTCCCCTTATTGTCTGTCGCTGTGTGTTGATTTTCCACAGTGGTATGGATTGTTTGGTAGAAAAAAAAAACAGTGGCAAACTTCTAAAATTGCTTAGTGTATCCAAACAGCAAAAACAGTGCTGGGGTTGGTTCTGCAAGGTTCTGGATGTAACCAGAGGGTCTGGCTGGCTGACTGCACTCAGAGGAAAGACAAGACGGACATATAACCAGATTGTGACTGGTACCATCAGTATTGGAACTGGGCGATGGCTGCTAAGGATGAGGACGGAGCATGCATGGAAAGGCCCAAAGTGCTGTGATGTCAATTCTTGACTTAACTCAACTGCAAGATTCTGTGAAGGATACGTAACTCACTTTCTAAGTAAGTAAAGCAGCCTTTTCACACATTCTGGTGTGTGAGGTAACGAGCAGGCTGATAGATTGGCTGATGCTCCTCTGGTCTAAAAGCAGACAGGACATAATGAAGAACAAGGAGAATATGTTTGGAAGCAATGAACATGCTGGGATACACAGAAGTAGTCAAAATTATTCGAAAACATCCTCACTCCTTCACAACGCTGAATCGGATTCTAGACTACGAGATACAGAAAGAGACAATCAAAAGACACACCAAAATATACTTGACAATAAAGATGCTGTTATCTCCTCGTCATGGCAACCAGCAACCCCTAACACTCAGCGCATGCGGAACCTAATTGACCGACATATTCATGTGTCTACGAAGCTCTGTGTGCTACTTTACGATAAAGCAGACGTGGTAAAGACTCTCTGGGATCAAATGGACAGTGCAGTTGAACAGACAGACATTGAAAGACCAGGCTGGATTTATCAGGCAAGAATGGATTGCAACACTAAGCACTTCATGAATATCTGCCCTAACCTTCATCTTTGTGCCAGGTTGTGTGGGTGTTCAAGGGAATGAGCGTGCAGACTATCTTGCTGAGACTGCAGTTGTAATGCCTGGCCCTGTACTGGACAGAAGTAATGTTATCAATGCCATGCACTGCACTTAACATACAGAGGAGCATGCCAAAGGACATGACTCCGTATCCCTGTTTAGACTGATGGACATGGGGGTGCAGCCTGGAGCTGCAAGAAATGAATATTTCACTAAGGGGACAAGACGTTTCATTAACCAACACAGAGCTGGCATCATCAGTCGTTTTACACTTGTGGAGCTTTTGAGGAGGAGATTGGAGCACCTATGGATCTGTCCAAGGTGCTGTGATGATAATCCTTTCTAATCCCTAATTACATTGAAAGACTAAGTCAACGGGAGGTGTGTAGAGGTTCTTGAGGATATTTAACACTGAGGGGGAAACATAGACAGACTTTTAATCAGTTTGCAACTGATACTATTAGCATGTTGACTCTTCATTGGCTACTGAAGAAAGGGACAGAGAAGGTGGGGGAATATCCCAAGGACAGTGATTTCAATTCTTGATTGATTCATTCATGCACGCATTCACTTTGACCAAACCTAAAACAGGTATCATGTCCTAGTAATTAAAGGCAGCGGGCAGGATTTTTACCACATTACCCACCAAGTGCAACTTGTTCTGTAAAAATACAAGTCTGGCATCATATACCCGAGGCGCGACTGATGTTTACTACTTTACATATAGTGCAATATCCTTTGGATATTTTCTCTAGGCAATGCCGGTGTGTTGGGAAATGAGCAGGCAGATAGACTGGGCGATTCTGCACTACTTGGTGGTAAACTCATGTATGACAAGCTATGCCGGTGTGTTGGGAAATGAGCAGGCAGATAGACTGGGCAACTTTGCACCACTTGGTGGTAAACTGATGTATGACAAGCTGGGTGTTTTGAGGGCCCTTTGGAAGCGAGTGAACAGTGCCGAGACACAGATGGATCATTATGGTCTGAGGAGAATGGCACTGTGAGGAGTTACAAGGGAATCTGGCCAACGCTCAACAATCAGGGGAAAGGCAAGACGATATACAATCAGACAGTTACTAGTACCATCGGAATTTTAACTCTTTGCTGAAGATGGGGACGGAGTGCGTATGGGAGGTGTCCTGAGTGCTGTGATGTCGATTCTTGATTAAACATTCAACATATAGTATGACAGATTCCAGCCTTACCAAGACAGATGTGATATATAATGTGATCACTTCCAATAAAACCTAAATGTTGTATGTATTGTGATCAATTGCAGCACTGCCTACTGGGGTGGGAGAACCGAGTTCCAACAGTGATACCCACAGCTCGCTATGTGGACTTGAAGACAGCGGCCGGAACTGGGAAGGACTACCAGAAAATTGTAAGTTTTGGTTCTGGAATTTTTCCAGTGTTAATTTTCTAACTTCCAGAGCAAGGTGTCTTGTGTATATATGTGTATTAAGCTCCTACTCAGTCACTAAAGATAAATATAGGAGCTTTTCAACTGAAATGCTACATACATTTAAAAAAATAATAGATGGACCAAGAAGAGGAGAAACACCTACATCCTACCTGATCTGACTATCAAGGAGAATTGGCTTTTAAACAGCATCCTGTCCTAAAAAGCTGAGGTATTTTGGCTATGTTAAATGTCATGACAGCCTGGAAAGAACAGTGATGGTGGGTACAGTTTACGAGAAAAGAACATTAATGATACAATGGCTATAAAAGCACATAGGGCTGGAGAACTAGCTAGGAAAAAAAGAGAGACTTTCACACATGCCTTGATGAGATCGACATTCTGTGAATGACCTGCTGACTGATTATGATCAGGCACTGTGGGACTCAACACTGCAGTGGCGAGATGCTTGCAAACTGACCTGAAGCTCTTGTGTTGTTGGAATGGGCATCGAAGCAAAATTAGAAACAAAAATTTACCAAGACACCAACATCGTCCAAGCTTAACTAATGTTATAATACAAGTCTCCTAGAAGGTTATGATGGCCAAAATGATGTTGACAGAAACACCCCTCAAGTGCTGATTGGTCTATCAAAATATGAGTGAGGTGTTTAATAACAGAAATTAGTAACCATGGAAATGAGGTGTCTGAGAAAGACTGTAGGAGTGACAAGAAGATAAAATCAGGAATGAGGTCATCCGAGATAAAGTCGGCACAGACGGCACAGAACCAATTCTAAATTACATACAAAGACAGCAAATCAACTGGTTTGCCCACCTGGAGAGAATGCCTTCTGATGCTCTACCATAAGGACATAAAGAAAAAGGATGTAGTCAAGAAGAAGATCAAGAACAAGATGGAAAGATAACATCAGAGAAACTCTGATCTATGGTCGAAGCAGCCAGAAGAGCACAAAGCAGGACATTATCTCTTCCTCAACACCCAAAGCAGTAAAAGAGAACATAAACAAAAAGAATGTACCTACTGTCAAACAGTGGACCATGTGTGAGAATCTTCTCTCTGTGGGTTCCGGGGCCCATTGTGAGGAAAACAAGAATAGACCCACTTGCTTCCTTAACAAGCATGTCATAGGAGTCAATTAACTCTTTCAGTCCCAGGGGGTTTATCATCACAGGCCCAGGGGGTAGTAAAGAAAGTCATAAAATCAGTGCATCATGCGCTCATTGGGCTTCTAGGTAGCAACCTTTGAATGTATAATGCGTTCCTTGGGACTCAAAGAGCTAATGGGGGGTATCCTTCGTAGTTAGAAACGTCTGCATGATATGCAAGGAAACAAAAGTCTGCATTAAAAATAAACCAAATGTGTGAAATGGATGTGCACGCAACACGCAGGTTCTAGAACAAGACTATATATAGTACAGACGTGGATGAATAGTCAAGCACCTTATGGGATAAACTCTATTTATAGAAACATGGTACTAGTGTAGCATCACTTAAGATGATCTTGGAGGTGGCAAATTTATGTTGTGAAAAAGAAATGGTTCATCCCTAAAAATTTTACTTGTTTCAATTCTGATCTGGTTAACCCTACCAGACCGCTGGCCCGATTTTCTGGAAATTTCCTAACCAGCCGCTAAACCGCTGGCCCACTTTTCCGGGAATTTACGTAGTACGTGACAAATATGCGTCACAGACTAAAAATAACCAGCCAATCGCCATCAGACTTCGTTGTTAGTCACTGCGAATGACTTCCCACGTGTGTTGAGATTTCTTTGTGTGGTTTGATGTGAAAAAAATTCTGAAAATTCTCAATGAAACCAGCGGCTTCAACAAGAAAGTGACGTTGGTCTAGGCTTATCACAGTCCAACAGTTGATCGATACTTTGGTTAATTCAGACTGTAAATACGTTTATAAAGAATACGTTCCCAGTTGAAGTGACACAGTCAGTTAGAGCTAGAGTGAGGAGGAGAATTATCTTCTTCTTCTTTGTGTTCACCAGCTGTACACTCTGGCGTAAAGTTCTGGTTGTTCGTCCACTTCTGGACTGCAGTCATGCTCCAGAACCTGAGTGTTGCATGTGCATCAGTTTTACAGATCTGATTCAATTGAATGCAGACTGCTGGTTCCTTGCCTCTCAGGCAGATGCACTCCGACTTCAAAGGAAGCTCCCCAGTTAGTCGACTCTTACGACATGCTTTTGGGGAGGCAGTGGGTCTATTCTTGTTTTCCCCACAATAGGGCCCCGGAACCCACACGGGGGAGGAGAATTATGAAAATTATAGATTTTAAACTAGATCGATAGTAAGAGAAGGGAGCGTGTCTCTCAAACAGCAACATCTGGTGCTTAATTTGTGAATCAAGGCTGATCCTACTATGGGGATTGGCACACATAGGTGGAAGATGAAAGGTAAACCTATTTTCTACAATGTCTCCAAGTTTTATCTTATTCTAACCACTTGTTTGCATGTAACTAATTTTTTTGTACATCATGTTGGTTTTTTGCGTGTTAGTGCCCAGGAGCTCAGGTTATAGGGACAGTTAGGTTCAGGGCCTCAGGTCTGGTAGGGTTAAGAGGAGTTTCTGATGAGAAAAACCATTTCTTTGGACCCTGTTGAATTCTCCTTATCTGGCATGCACTGTATGTACAATAATCTTTAGACACGAAGAATGACCCTTTAGTTCTTAAACATATTGTGTGGTTGCAGACACTGGCTGAAGCTGAGAAACAGGCCTCACAACACAGTTACTCCCACTGGCCATTTGAGAGAACCGCCCCTCGCCTTGATCTGCTGCACCTCTGGCAGAAGCATTACTCAGATGCAGCCCGCAACATGACCATGCCAGCATCCACCAACAATAGCAACTCCACCACCAGATCCAACAGTGGCATGGACTCAGTCAAAAGAGCCACTGACCAGCTCCTCAACTCCACATATGCCACCATGTATGAGATGGAGAGACTGAAGGAGGAGAGAAGGTTGGAAGGAATGATCAAGCAACAGCAGAAGAATTGATTTCTGCCTGGTTTCTGTGTGTAGTTTTTGGCTAATCCTAACTGCTGCCTTTTGAAGCAGAGTGCCTTAATGCAGCAACCAAGTTAGGCTCTTACAGTACTTGAACACTTATTAGATATATAAATCTGGATAAGGGTAAGTTAAAGTAATATGTGGGATAAGGGTGGGTTGAAAATATTTGAGGTAAGGGTAATATGTGGAATAAGGGTAAGTTAAAGTAATATGTGGGATAAGGGAAAATTAGGGTAATATGTGGGATAAGGGTAAGTTCAAAGTACAATGTGGGATAAATGTCAGAGACAATATGGAGGATTTAGAGTAATTTGTATAGATAGAAGTAGGTTGAAGGAATGTGGTGGATAAAAGAAAGTATTGTATGTGAGATTAGGGTAAGAAATTAATATGCTGAAAACCAGTAGAGTTCTCTACAGGATAAGACAGAATTGTATTTTTGAAAATGGGATAAAGATAAGTATGGATCTTTGATGGTACTTTATTTGTGCACAGTGCTGAGATTCTCCTTGCAATATATCTGGGAGGAGACTGAGACACAATAGGAGAAACTGATCCCTCCTGACTCAAATCTTATAAATAAAAAAATGATAAAATTCCTATTCTTTTACCTTAGATAAAAGAGGAAAGACTGTACAATGAGCAAATGTATCTTGCAAGTTTCTATTTTTTTTTCTGGAGTCTGTTTGGAGCTGCGGTAGTGTTCTGGCCAGATGCTTGCCTTCTGGCCCGAAAGTCAAGGGTTTGACATCCAGGGGTTTTTGTGTGTTGAAAACTGATCTTGGCTCACAGGTTGGCCGAGACTAAAATAAGCACCAGGCAATGTCCTGAGAAGTAAAGACAACCGACACGATGTTGGCCACATCACCCCTTGAGTGTCTAGCCCTGTATGGCCATGCCCAACAAGGGTGTTAATATTTTTTTTAATTTTAAATTTCACTTTACTAAGTGGAGGTGAGGGGTGACAGAGTTTGATTTTGGAAGTTCATATTCTAAATTTATTTTGACACTATTTTGTGATGTATTTAATAAATTTGACTAGATATTTATATTAAAATGTTTTTTTTTCCAGTTTATTATTGTAGAGATAAAAAAGAAATAGTTAATGAATGGAAGCTCAGGCTATCATGAGCCAAGAATAGATAAAGCAGACATTCCTCATGATCTCAGTATCAGTGGGCACTGGCCCATTAACAGTATTGTTTCTCATAAACTGAAATATTTCTGTTTGGAAAAGACGGGCTCCAGGCCTCAATAAGGAAAAAGAAATTGTTTCTGTCTCCATAGTTTAAGATGACTGCACTAGCTGCAGCCCTAAATCTTCAAGTTCAAGACTTCTTTCCCTTTCCTGTCCTTCACTCACCTAAAAATAAATACAGGCGGTAAAGGCGTTCTCTTGAGTACAAAATTGTACAACTGAAGCCCAGTTGCAATAGTGGCGCTGTGGTTTCCATCACAGGCGTGAGGGTAAGTTAAGGTCGTCGTGAGATATATGAGAACAGAATAGAATTTACAACACCACAATCACTACTTACGTCAAACCTGCACAAAGCAGGATATTAAAATAAACACAGAGAAAATGGAGGCAAAGAGATTAGGCAAGAAACATAACGTGAACTTTCATGTTAACGGTACTACAATCAAACAAGAATGAGAATTCAGATATCTGGGAAGCATATTTACATAAGATAGATATAAACAGAGTACAGCTGGCAAATGCTGTCACCTACCAGTTAGCCCCACTACTTAGACATCCAGATGTCTCCCTTCCAGCAAAACAGCACATGATTAATAGCATCTTTATGTTATCAGTGCCAAAAATAGACACTGAATAGGGCACTAGAACAGAAAATAACCACATGTGAAATGCACTGTCTCTGCTAAGTCACTAACAACACAAGAAAGGCAGGGTTACTAATAACTGCATTAGAGAGAAAGTTGGAATAATACCATGTCTGAATTATTTTGACAAAGAATGAAATGGTTCGGCTGTCTAGTAAGTATGAAGCCGGACCAAACTGCATATTCAACCTTTTACAGCAGAATTTCTGGGAGGAAGGCTAGGGGAAGACCCCCCGAAAAATAGATTGATAAATGGTAATGCTGAAACCTCTAAAATGATGAACAGATCCATCACCCAAGCCACCCGAGAAGTGCAGGACAAATACAGAAAAACCAAGCCACTGGGCTACAATCTGGTATCAGTGAGACGACAAATGAAGAAGAAGTGAGGTGTGTAAGGGGGTACTATATATACAAGTAATAACCAGGGAACCAGTATTCTCTGTGCTGTTGTTGCAAATGCGCTTTGTAATGTCGGGGTGCCTGGTTTGATCCCAGCTGCGGACGGTTTGTCTTGCATTGGTTTTGATGGTGGTACCGAGAGCTGACTGTTCAGTAAGCAATGGCAAACTACTGAACGTAAAATTTGCCTAGAAAAACCACAACAGCCAAAGCAAGCTGGGGTTGGTTCTGCAACACCCTGTAAAGGATAGGCAACTAGCAGAAATGGCAGGGGTTCTCATAGATGGTGGCTCCCAGAGATGCATTGTAAAGAAAGCCCACCTCCAATGCATGGTTGATAACATGCGCACCACCATGAAGAAAATAGTGTGGCGGGGGTGAAAGCCTTAGCCCTTCCCCCACCTTACAAAATTTTAAGGTACAATATTTTTCCTCCCCTAAATTTGGAAAAGAACCAATGGGGGGGGGGGGGGCCTCACCAACCACACCCTTATCGCCAACTACTCAAAAAAATGAAAAGAGTTCAGGTTTCTTCCAAATCGGAGTGCATCTGCTCTATAGACAAGGAAATAAAAGACTGGCCACAAATGAGCCAAATCTGTAAAGCAGATGTGCATGTCAAACTCAAGTCCTGGACCAATGCCATAGCTGTACCCCTCCGATACCAGGTGTGGGTGATTTGGCAGCAGACCATCTTGCATTGTCGAGAGTCGACTATTTAGAAAGCAATGGCAAACTACTTAATGTAAAATTGCCTATAAAAATCATGGACAGGGTAAAAATCCTGTGATTGGTTCTGCAACACACTGTAAAGGATACACAACTACTTTAAGCTACTTGTCTAATCGTTGAAGGCCCCACTATAACCTTACGATTGACCAAGTCTAACCAGGATTTGAACATGTAGGATTCTCACTATTGAGGTGTCAATCCTGTGAACTGAATAAAAAAAGGTTGCGTATCCTCTAGAGGACGTTGCAGAACCAACCCTAACAGCCCCTGGCTGTTGTGTGGTTTCTCTAGGCAAATTTACGTCCAGTAGTTTGCCATTGCTTTCTGGACGGTCGGCTTTCTTGATACCACTGTCGAAACCAACGCAAGGCGCATTGCCCGCAGCTGGGATCGAACCTGGCATCCCGGCATTACGAAGCGAAGTGTTCGCATCGACTTAGCCACAAAGCCGACGTGAACTGAATACCAATGGGAAAAAACATGAATGAGGGGATGTAACTACTTTAAACAGGTTGACACATAACTTTACAACTTACCTCCCCTGAAATGAACTTTTGCTTGAAGACATCATTCGACAACATTGCGTTTCAGTCCTAATGCTGAGCTGAAAAAAAAAAAAGACAGGCTCTGAAACCTTCGACACAGCAGGCTTGTGATGCAAGTCAGGGGCGCCACAACCTGGGGCTCGTGCACACTGAGTCCACCAGAAAAAAATCCCCTCCCCCCACCTCAAAAAGCCTTCATAACCATGCGGAAACATTTCAAATTACTTCCGATATACATGTATTATTATATTTATTTGTTTTGCCATTCATGCTTCTTCTTCTTTTGTCATCTTACTGATACCAGGTTGCAGCCCAGTGTCTCGGCTTGCTGTATTTGTTTTGCCATTCATGCTTCTTCTTCTTTTGTCATCTCACTGATACCAGGTTGCAGCCCAGTGTCTCGGCTTGCTGTATTTGTTTTGCCATTCATGCTTCTTCTTCTTTTGTCATCTCACTGATACCAGGTTGCAGCCCAGTGTCTCGGCTTGCTGTATTTGTTTTGCCATTCATGCTTCTTCTTCTTTTGTCATCTCACTGATACCAGGTTGCAGCCCAGTGTCTCGGCTTGCTGTATTTGTTTTGCCATTCATGCTTCTTCTTCTTTTGTCATCTTACTGATACCAGGTTGCAGCCCAGTGTCTCGGCTTGCTGTATTTGTTTTGCCATTCATGCTTCTTCTTCTTTTGTCATCTTACTGATACCAGGTTGCAGCCCAGTGTCTCGGCTTGCTGTATTTGTTTTGCCATTCATGCTTCTTCTTCTTTTGTCATCTTACTGATACCAGGTTGCAGCCCAGTGTCTCGGCTTGCTGTATTTGTTTTGCCATTCATGCTTCTTCTTCTTTTGTCATCTCACTGATACCAGGTTGCAGCCCAGTGTCTCGGCTTGCTGTATTTGTTTTACCATTCATGCTTCTTCTTCTTTTGTCATCTCACTGATACCAGGTTGCAGCCCAGTGTCTCGGCTTGCTGTATTTGTTTTGCCATTCATGCTTCTTCTTCTTTTGTCATCTCACTGATACCAGGTTGCAGCCCAGTGTCTCGGCTTGCTGTATTTGTTTTGCCATTCATGCTTCTTCTTCTTTTGTCATCTTACTGATACCAGGTTGCAGCCCAGTGTCTCGGCTTGCTGTATTTGTTTTGCCATTCATGCTTCTTCTTCTTTTGTCATCTCACTGATACCAGGTTGCAGCCCAGTGTCTCGGCTTGCTGTATTTGTTTTGCCATTCATGCTTCTTCTTCTTTTGTCATCTCACTGATACCAGGTTGCAGCCCAGTGTCTCGGCTTGCTGTATTTGTTTTGCCATTCATGCTTCTTCTTCTTTTGTCATCTTACTGATACCAGCTTGCAGCCCAGTGTCTCGGCTTGCTGTATTTGTTTGCCATTCATGCTTCTTCTTCTTTTGTCATCTTACTGATACCAGCTTGCAGCCCAGTGTCTCGGCTTGATGTATTTGTTTGCCATTCA